GTCCATACTAGGTCTATGACACAACTATTATTAGTATTATAATTACAGAAGGATTTCAAAATTCACATATTTATTCCATATTTCTAGTTATTATCCAGAATGGAAAAAGTTTTTCAAGCCTTATTTATTTGCTTTTTAAAACATTGATTTTTGAAAACAGTCATTCAATAATATATTCATTCATTTCTAGTGGTGTGGGTCTTCCCACATCAATGAATATAATCCCACATGGTAATGTTCAGTCTTGACTCCTAGGCCATCTTAGATCCTGTCAAGTTGTCAGTCAGTATTAACCACAGCATTTCTTTATGTTTATAAGTATGTATGAGGACAGGGTGTGGTGGTTGAGTCTGATCTAACAGGACAGATGGGCTACAGGTGGGCACCGGAATGAAATTCAGTCCCAGTGACTCTGGACCTCCTTCCTCTGTTCTTCCCTAGACAGCTGAGAGCACCATTTGAATTTCTTCTCATCTCCACTGGGATGTTCTGCTTTGATCTTCATTATCTACAATGTTCTTTTCCTTTGATCTCAATCTGATATTGAGACCTCAGCCCAATCAGTTTTTTGTATTTTCCCTGGCTGTAAGCCCACCGGAACATTTATTTCCTTTATTATGTTATACTGGCAACCCACCATGATGTGCAGAAGAAACTTCAGGATGAGATTGACAGAGCTCTGCCCAGTATGGTGAGTGGATGGTACCCAGAGAAGGCGCTCATAGGAAAAGAATTAGCAAGAACATGACTCATCAGTCTCAATAAGAATTTTTACAGCAGGCCATGCATTGGTTCTTTTACCCAACAAGAGTCTAAGATAAATAGGGGAGGGACATAGGAGATGAACACAACCCATAGAAATACACAATCTTTAATACAGTCCTGGCTCTGATGTATCTTTTTCTGTTATTGCAATAATACTAAGTAAGAGACACACATAAAACCTGGGTGACCCTTGAAAATAAGCAGCAGTTCCCCAGGTGTCTGGATAGTTATCTCTGATGATGGCCTCATTGTGCTGTCTCCACTATATGGTGGTAGGCTGCCTGTCACTTGTCTTGGCAGGCTGGCCTGACACTCCTCTCAATGGCTCCTCTATCCAGTCCATTAGCATGGCATTTGTGTGTGTGTGTGTGTGTGTGTGTGTGTGTGTGTGTGTGTGTGAGTGAACTAGGAATTCTTTTTTTCCTGTGCTTTGGATGGTGTATTAGACTCCTTCCGGTCTTGCAGTTAGCATGACTTTCAGAAGTTCTTTGAGTGTCAGTGCCCTCTGCTGACCATAATATGCATTACAGTCAGTGTGCTGGACAGGTTCTCTCAGGAAGTATCCAGGTCAAATCCTGTGAAGTGGCTAATGTTCCAGCTTCAGCTGTTTTGGAAAGCACCTAGATATGCACTAGAGGAGTGCCTGCCTTTGTGCTTTCGTGAATTCCTAAGTGTTGTTCACCTGCTGGTAGGAAGCAGCCATGGATCCAGTTGTGCTGTGGGGAGCATCTCATGGCTGAATTGCAGGGAAAGGAGAGTTCTGCAAGTTCCCACTTCCTTGTCATCCTGTCTAGGGATGGGTTTGTTTGGTGGTGAATAGAACTTTAGAAAGAGAGGAAGACCAAACAGTTGGGGGACTTTAAAAGGTCACTGAGCTCTGGCCAACAACCTAAAGAAGAAGATGGGAGGAGAAGACAGCTGTGCCTTACACAGTCAACACTCAGAAAGGCAGCAGACCCAGCAGAAACTCATGGTATCATGCTGGCTTATAGGGACCATACTGGGTACAGATATAGGTGGGGAGGGTGCTAGTGGCCTTCTGAAAGAGAAAAGTGCATGATCAGCAGGTGAACCTGCATTCCTACAGGTGATCTCTTAGCTGACTCCCTTACCTGGCACCGTGGAGCAGAGATAGGGCAAGTCTCCACCTAAATGGAGAGTCCTTGCTTAACCTTGAAATTGTTTTTAAAATTTTCTTATTATTTCATATGTATGGGTTTGTGGAGGCTAATCTTGGTTGTCATTTCTACTACATCTCTAAGGCATGCATGCATTCAGGCACTGGTGAGGGATTTTATTGATTGGGTAACTTGAGGTGGCAAGACCCACCCTAAATCTTGCACACACCTTCTTGAGTCAGCCCACAGAAAAGAACATGGAAGAGGGAAACTTATGTAGTTTTGTCTATTTGTCCTCACTCTCTTCAGCAAATCCATCTCTCCTGAGGCATTCCTTCACTGGTGTTAGACCCTGCTTTGGGATTTCAATGCACACTGAAGTCTAGCAGCTCTCTGGGACTCACTTGGGAGTCCTGCAACTGACAGAGACTGATGAGATATTCAGGTTCCTAGACTGAAGAACTGCCATGTGCTTGTCCTTTCCATCTGGAGACCACATGTGTAGGACTAGCTGGACCTCTGCTTGTGAACCACTAACATAAACAGCCCTTAATATATATGTTTCTGCATTTGTGGATGTAGGCTATGTGTAAGCATGCATGTCTATGTGTGTGTCTGCATGTGTGTCTGTGTCTGTATGCATGGGTATTACTTCCAGTAGCTCTGTTCCTTGGAGAATACTGACAAAAATTGGCTGTTTTGTCTGCTCTTAGTTTTCAAAGAACCACATTCTGTCACTGAACAGCTCACTGATTGGGAAAACTGTCTGACCAGTGAACTCTGGTAACCTGCTGTCTTGTCAGGTGTCTTTGTCTGATTTCTTCTTGCTATGATAGAATACTGAACAAAAATAACTTCATAAAAGCAGTCATTTCTTTCAAATTGCAGATAAATGTCTACCATGAAGGGAAGCCAGGACAGAAGCTCAGAAAGCAACCTGGAGGCAGGAACAGAAGCAGAGGTCATGGAGGAACACTGCATACTGAATTGCTCCTCATGGCTTGCCCAGCTTACTTTCTTATACCACCCAAAATGACCAGTGCAGGGTGGCACCACCCACAGAGGGCTCTCCTTCCCAAACCAAGCACTGATCAAGAAAACACGCCACATATTTCCCTTCAGGCTACTCTGATGGAGACATTTTCTCAACTAAGGTACCCTCTTCCCAGCTGACCTTACTTTGTATTGAGTTGAAGACAATGACAGAAAGAAAGATAAGAATGGAGGAAGGAAGAAAGAAAGATAGAAACTTCTAGCATATAGGGTAACAGGTTCACTCAACCATGCCATTTTTAAAAAAATATGAATGCTAGGTTTTCATTTTATGTCCATGTGCTTTTTCAGCAGAGAGCACATGGATGGCCATCTCCCCATCTTCGATCTGTACTGTTATGATTTTTTTTTCTCGAGACAGGGTTTCTCTGAGACAGGCCCAAGGAGAGTTTCCCAGATTGTTCCCTGGATAGCAGAGGAGAGGGTGCCTGAACTGGCCTTGGCCCATAACCATACTGATTAATATTTTGCATGTCACCACAGAACCTTCATATGGCGAAGGATGGAGATAGAGACAGGGACATATATTGGAACACTGAACTTAACTCCCTAGGTCCAATTGAGAAGCAGAGGGAGGGAGAACGTGAGCAAGGAAGGCAGAACCAGAGGGAACCTTCATCCGACGATGGATGGAGATAGAGACAGAGACCCACATTGGAGCACTGGACTGAGACCCTAAGGTCCAAATGAAGAACAGAAGGAAGGAGAACATAAAAAAGGAAGTCAGGACCACGAAGGGTGCGTTCACTCACTGATACAAGGGGACTGATCTAATGAGAGCTCACCAAGGCCAGCTGGACTGGGATAGAACGAGCTTGTGATCAAACCGGATTCTCTGAATGTGGCTGACATGGGGGCTGACTGAGAAGCCATTTACAATGGCACTGGGTCTTGTTTTGTCTGCATGGACTGGCTTTTTGGGATCCTGGCCTGTTTGGATGCTCACCTTCCTGGACCTGGAGGGAGGGGGGAGGAACTTGGATTTCCCACAGGGCAGGAAACCCTGACTGCTCTTGGGAATGGTGAGGGAGGAGGAGAGGGAATAGGGGGAGAAGGAGGGTGTTGGGAGGAGGGGAGGAAGTAGAAATTCTTTAAATAAATAAATAAGAAAAAAAAGAAAGAAAGAAAAAAATGGAGGAAGGAAGAAAGATAGATAGAAACTTCTAGCATATAGGGTAACAGATTTACTCAACCATGCCATTTTTAAAAAATATGAATGCTAGGTGTTCATTTTATGTCCCCGTGCTTTCTCAGCAGGGAGCACATGGACGGCCATCTCCCCATCTTCGATCTGTATTGTTTTGATTTTTTTTTCTCGAGACAGGATTTCTCTGAGACAGGGTTTTCCTAGATGTCTGACCTTGAGCACGCAGAGACCTGCCTGCCTTCTTTGTGGAGTTTCGGGGTTACAGCCTTGTGCCTCCAACCACCAGTTCATTTCTCTTTTTTAATGCCAGTTTATTTAGTTTAATTTTGAAGAAGAAAAAGAAGAAAATACCACTTTAGATGCTAGTAGCAGTAATGCCATATTGCAAGGCCTAAGAAACAAACAAGTCAGGGCTTGTCATGAGTCAGACATCTGGTCTCCAGCCAGGGGAAGGAGAAAGAATGAGTCAGGATATCTACAATCAGACATCTGGTCTCCAGCTAGGGGAAGGAGGAAGAGATAAGAGGAAAGGAAATCCCTGGGCAACCCCCTCCTTGTTATTTAGGTGAAAGGCCAAGAATTTGCCACCCAGCATGAGCTCATGACCCTATTTGAATTGAACAATGGAATTCCTGTAACCATGCATCTTGCTTCTGTAACCCTGCTTTTGCTCTCCCATAAAAACCCCTCGTTCCAGCCTGACAGCACGCAAGTCCTCCAAGAGACGAGAGACTTTGTCGCCCCAGGTACCTGTGTATCAGAATAAACCTCTTGCTGTTTGCATCCGTAGGAGTGGTCTCGACTGATCCTTGGGCAAGGGGTCTCTCCCGAAGGAAGACTCCCCTCGGGAGTCTTTCCCCCTTGGGAGTCTTTCAATTTTATTTAATTTTTTGAAATTGTATACTTCCTTTTAAAACTGAACCCACTGATTTACATTAGCGAGTGACTTGCTGTTGAATTTGGCATCAATTTCCAGCCAATCTGGTACATGTCTGTCTTTAGATTAGAAGCCAGCCCTGTATCTCCTTGACGAATCCCTTCTGTTCACCCGGTCCTGTCACTCAGAACTCACCAGCCAATCAGAGCCTCGAACAGACCCGCCAGTCAGATGGGAGGGCTCTTCTGGGAGTCAACTTCCTTTCAGAGGTTCAGCTCTCTCAAGCACTGCAGCTCAGGATCTCTCCAGGGCGGATAGCATGTAGGCTTGGCAGCTGCACCATGGTAAGTGAGGGGTTGCTCTCCCCAGATGGAGGAGTGGCCGGGCTTGGCTAGAGAGGGGCCGCTGTACCTAAACTAGGTGGAGAGGCTGCTGTGGCTTCCTGCGGATGTAGTGGCCGGGTGGGAACCAGCAGGCAGACACTGAGTTTAGCATCTTCCTGACTCAGTATTCCTAAACTTGCAGCTCTCCTGGCAGCCTCTGAATCCCTTCACTGCACGGGCTGTGTCTGCACAGAGCAGGGCGTTGCTAGCCGCAGACGGTGGTGTCTGTCCTGCTTATATTGTCGCATGTGGAGCAAGATAACCACATTTACCAAACATGGAGACTCCTGGTCTCTCCTGGGTCTTCAGAAGTTCTGCACTTTTAACATTTAGGTTTGGGATCTGGCTGTAGTTAACTTCGTGCGGCTTGTAAACAGTTTAGTAGTTAGCGTTCCACTACTAAACTGTGATGTAGACGAGTATAGTTGATAATAGAATTAATGTTAAAAGGATTTACTGGTTCTTAGAGACATTAAGTCACACAGAGTAGAATTTAAGTGAGGGAGGGCTGCATCCCAAATATCCAAAGATGAGTAGCATGCACACCATGCCTCTTAGAGATTAGTATCATGAGTTACAATTGTTTGTTCGCCAGGATTAATCAGCCATTAAGCAACATTCCTATAATAAATGAGACAACCATGATTTACAACCAGCCAAAAGACCCACTTCTCCATCAAAGGCCTCTGACCTGTTACTCAGGCACTGTTATGGGGTCACAACCTTGTGTGCCTAGAAAGTATAGCAATTCCAGAACAGCTGTATTTTTCAGCTCTGAGGAAAGCAGTTGTGACTCAGTGTCCCCTGTGATGATTGAGGTGGACTTGAATCCTGTCTGCAGCCCCACAGGGCATTGCCCTTGCTATCCTCTTGGCTACCCATCATACATTTTTAGACTACAAATATGCTGCTCCACTGAGCTCTAAAATTACCAGTTTGAGTCATACAGTGCGACTGTCCATTGCAATAGCAATGAAAGGATTTGCGTGTGGAGTATGGCTTCTCCCTTCAAACCAGAAAACTAGAATGAATGTACTGAGTACGCTGTGTACTCTGGACAATAGCTAGATCTTAGACTGAAGTTTAAGGCCGTGGGCTGCAGGGGAGTCCATTACAAAGAAGGACTTGATGGGGCACAGTGAGTGACTTAATGTGTAATTCCCATCATACATTAATTCCTTCCTTGTGAATGAAGACAGACACTGGTGGGTGTTTAGGGAGGAGAGCTTGAACTCCTAAGTATTTAGTTTCCAATTAGTGAACTCTCCCATGCAGATATGTTCAATCCTGGTTGACACAGTGAAGTCAGTTCAGATGTTTGCAACACAGGCCATTGACTGTAACTCCATGTGTCAGTATACAGTACTCAGCAGCTAACATTTTATATGGGACAAAGTCATGCGTTCTCTTATTAATGGCATTCTCCCTACCAGGGAAGTGCTTACTCTGTTTCAAAATCAGTATAAGTAAGTGTTCAATTATTTCTATCATTTTAAGAAGTCAATTATTGATTATCATTGTTTAGATTTCACTTTCTTCAATGACATGACTGCTAAAATCTCTTTGTTTCTATTTTCCAATGTTTCCCAGTTTTTGAATTTTATTCTATTTTTTAGTGCCGTTTATTAATTCATCTATTTATATCAGTATATAGCAGTGATTTTCAACCTGGTGGGGAATGACTCCTTTTGGGAGATCAAATGAACCTATCACAGGACTGGCCTAAGACCACCAAAAAGTACAGATATTTATATTATCATTCATAACAGTAGCAAAAATATAGTTATTAAGTAGCATTAAAATAATTTTATCGGTGGGGTGATCACTACATCATGAGTAACTGTATAAAGAGTCACAGCACTAGGAAGATTGAGAACAACTTTTTTAGATTAATGTCCCTGGTTGCAGGTTCGCATCATATATGTAACTGAGAATTGCTATGAACACCTAATCCTGCCTCTGCTACCCAGTGCTGGAAAGACAGTCCTGCAACTCCTACCAGGCTGGACCTTGACTGGTCTGTGTGAAGGAGAAATAGATCAGTGAATGAGTATCCTCCAATTTCTGTAGATTTCATTGTAAATTTACAAGTGAAGTGTGACCTGTGTAAGAATTGAGTTCACTGACTAAACTGTAAAGCCAGTGTAGTCACAACAGACAAAGGATGGGCAAGGAGGAGGGTAAAACTTTTCCTGCTGTGACTATAGTTGACATTAGTTGTGAGTAGTGAGGTGATCAATTTTCGATGTTCCATAAATGTCCTGTTTGTACATTTCATGGGACCACAGACAACACACAGGGCCCAGTGCCTTGGAGGAGGATCAGGAAGTATTCTGGGAGAATGGAAGATTTTATTAAACTACAAATTTCCCAGATTAGGGTCTTGTCTGACTATATGTGGAAGGACAAATCTGGAGGATGTTTGCTTTTTGAAACATTCGATCTCTGCTCACCCAGTGGGGTAACTGCTAATGTCTTGAAGCCCAACTGGGTGGTCCCAGAGGGACTCTGGAAGGTAATTAGTATCATCAGAGGTAGTTTACAGGTTCTTTCCAGGTTTGTCTTGTTCTGCTCTTGGGAGCTGTAAGGAGGACCACAAACCATGCCATGGTGAATGTAGGAGCGACTGTCCCCAGACCAAGAAGAGCAGGTTGGCTGAACTGTCAGAGCTGCTTGGACAGGGATGAACCATCAGCCAGACAGGATCTATTTTTCTTCATTGTGACTTGGGTAGTGGGCTTTGGCCTCTGAGCTTTGTTGAGAGTGGGGGAGACTATGAGCTTGTAATATTGTTGCCTCACACTATGTAATTGAGGATTGCTTTGAAAACCTAGTCCTGTCTCTGCTGCCCAGTGCTGGGTAGATAGTCCTTCAACTTCTTCAGGACTGGGCCTTGACCAGTCAGTGAGAAGGAAAAATAAACCAGGTGATGAGTGACCTCCAGTCTCTATGACTTTCAGTGTATGATTATAGATGAAGAGGTTGAGTACATAGGTCAAGCTTGAAGCTGGGAGATTCACAGTGCAGAAAGGGAAAGAAAGGACAGTGGCTGAGAACTTTCCTACATCAATAGTAGTTGAGATTAGCATTGCGGAACCAGGTAATCAATTTTAGGTGCTCCACAAATGTCCTGATGGTCATTTTTTGATGTCCACAGACCGGGCAATCAAGAATCTGGATAAAGAACTGAACTTATCATGAAACCAAATTGCTATAGTTACAGTAGTTCAACCAAAATAGAGCTGAGTAAAATGTGGCCCTGCCTAACAGGACTGTTATTTTCCTGGTTTTACATACACTCCCTAAGATAAAAGATTTGAGAAATCTTTGATGTGCTCTAATATCAATCCCTTGTTTCTGAAGCACATGGCCATATAGCCTGTTTCAACTTTTCAAAATTATTTTTTGAGATTATAACTATATCATATCCACATTCTCTTTCCTGTCCCAAGCCTTACCATGACCCCTTATTATCTTCTAATCCATGGCCCCTTTGTCTTTAACAACAGTTGTTATTGTGACTTGTGTTTAGCTGCAGGATTTCCCAGGGATGAGGCAATGGATTTGCTGCACTGCACATTGAGTGTGTAATGTAATGTGCATACAAAGGACCATGTGCTTTGGATGATTAACAGGGTATACTCTAGGAAATTGGCTGAATGTGTACTGAAATACAAACTTTCTGGACTAAGACCCTGTCTACTGGGCTGGGAGGGCAGAGCAGGAATTTCTGTGCTGTCTGAGTCATTTGATCTCTGATCACCCATTAGGGGAGCTGGTAATATTCTGAGGCCCAACAGGGTAGCCTTAGCCAGTGAGGGACTCTGGAAAATCTTAGCAAGCAGAAATAAAAGTGGAAGGCAGCTGACAGGTTCTTTCCTGGATCCTTCTCTACTTTTGTTGTAATGAGTTGTAAGAAAGACCACAAGCTATGCCATAGTGAGTGTAGGGTGTGCAGAGAAGGTCTGTTGATCTGTCATTTCTGCTTGGATTTGGATGGACCATATGCCAAGCTGTGGTTCTATTGCTTTATGTACTGACCTGGACATTGCTCCTTGTCCTCTGAGCCTCCCTGTGTATGGATTTCCTGGGGAGAGGGAGACTCTGCAGCCTGGCATGGTAGGATATTATGCTTGTAATCTTACCATCCAGTGTACACACAGAGTCATACTTTTGGTGTGCAGTGGAAGACATATTTGAGAACTGATAATCTGGTGTCTAGAAGTTCTAAATATTGCAGTCTACTTTCAAGTTTGTCTTATAAATGTTACAAGTAGTTTAAAAGCTGGAAGAACTTCAGTGATGTTGAATTAGCAATGCATGATTAAAATGTTTCTAACTTTCTGCTACCACTAGCTGCAGTGGTGTGATTCATTGATGTTTAGTTCCAGGGGACAAAGGGAGTGTCTGACCTGCAGAGGTTTCTTAAGTGTGTTTGGTGTTGGGCAGGTAGATAGTGCAGAGTCTATATCTGTGCTATCATCCATGTGACAGGAAGCAGAAATTATTCTATATTGTTTTGGGATTGGGCATCAGTGGGGCTGGGTTTACCTGAAAACACAAGGAGGTCTAAGGGGCTTCAGAACCATAGCAGGAGATCATCTCTTTTTGCAGAGAGGGATCTAGAGCATGGGTTCTCTCTGGAAGAAATACTAGTAATTGGAGGGTCAGAAACAACAATTTAAGGATCACTTTGAGGTAATTTGTGAAAATTGTGAAGTCTTTATTTAATTTCTATATACATAGTATTATAGGTAGCTGTATAACATTGGTCAGGATCACATGTTTCCTAATTAAGTTTCCTTTGGTATTTTGATTAATTACTGACTCTAATTTCCTTCCTTTGTTCTTGGCTTTCTCTCCATTCTCTTTATTCTTTCCAAAATATCATACACATTCTTGATTGATCAGTTTTGTGGTAATATTTTTTTCCCTGAGACAGGGTTTATCTGTAGCTTTGG